CTCTGTCGCCCAGGCTGGAATACAGTGGTGCAATCTCGGCTCACTGCACCCTCCACCTCCTGGGTTCAAGCAATTCTCCTGCCTCAGATTCCAAAGTAGCTGGGACTACAGGTGTGTGCCACCATGCCCGGCTAATTTTTTGTTTGTTTTTTTAGTGGAAACAGGGTTTCACCATATTGGACAGGCTGGTCTCGAACGCCTGACCTCGTGAGCCGCCCACCTCGGCCTCCCTGCCCTACCCTTTAATGCAACAGTGGCTAAGCTGAACCACTTAGTTCATTTGGTTGGCAGGTACTATGAGACTGTCTGAGCCTGTGTGTGGGTGTGCTGCTTCTGCAGCCTTGGCATTTTGAAGGTGTCACACAGCTCACACACCCTGTAGCAGTGAGCAGGAGAGGAAAGAACATCACTATGGAAGAGGAATGGGTCCCGGGAAAGGGACAGTGGAGCTGCACTTGGAGGGTGGTGATAGTTAGGCTGAGTTGGTACATCACTGTCTCCCTTGATCAGGGGCAAGCACAGGAGCAGGGCCTATCTGTCCACCTTTGTGCCCCACAGACCCTCAACATTGTGACGCCCCGTGTGCGGCCCGAGGACTGCAGCATTGGGCTTCTGCCCCGGAACCATGATAAGAATCGAAGCTTGGACGTGTTGCCTCTGGACCGCTGCCTGCCCTTCCTCATCTCGGTGGATGGAGAATCCAGCAACTACATCAACGCGGCACTGATGGATGTAAGTGTGCCCTGGCAGAAAGCTCCTAGCTGGCATTCAAGGGCAAATATTCTTCCTGAGGTGGAAGTGGCTGGACCTCAGGGCCCTGACCCCACCAGCCAGCCCCTCTTTTCCTGATATTCTGGTCCCAAGGACCTTTGCTCCGCCTAAAAGCTCTGGTCCAAATCTAGACACAAGCTGGGCTCTTGGCTCCCTTTCTCATACAAAGAGCCTGGAAAGAATAGACCAAAAGCTTAAGGTGGCGCCTGTGACACCATGGCAAGTGTATAGGCTTGCCTAGCACCCCCTTCTTCCCCACAGAGCCGACTCTCGGCCTGAAGTGTAGTAAAGCAAATGTTCTCTATGGTGGGACTTGGCCTGAGCCAGGGAACATAAGAAGGTACAGACATAGGTTCTGCCCCCTGATAGCTCCCATGAAGGTTCCCAGGTAACTCCTGTACCGAGGCAAAAATGAGGATGGCACACAGTAGGGGCGCAGTAAAACAAGCATGGGGTGGAAGCGGGCCATGTTGCTGGCTGTCCTGTGAGGGGCACTGTCCCCTGCTTTCTTGACATCACTTCACCTTGCCCTGGTTTGGTAGTAGGGCCACGTTCTTGGCCCAGTGAGCCTGGGCTTCTCCCCTGCATTTTTCTGATACTTCTGATTATCATCACTTCCCCTCCAAGATGTATGGGTGTTTGCAGCAGGAGGGAACTATGGACCACCTACTCCCAGCCATGTACTTTTCAGCAGAGGAAACTGAGGCCAGAGAGAGAGAGAGAGAGAGAGACTTGCTGAAGGTCACCCAGGGTGCTAGTGGCACAGCCCAAACCCAGAGCTCTTGGTTCACACTCTAGTATTCATTTATTGATCCTCCCCACAATTTGCTGGATCCAGTAAGATGTAAACACCTTGCCTCCTGAGACTCAGAACCAGGAACACCATTGCCTGATTATAACGGGCTCTTCCAGCTCCCCCTCCCCACCCATCTGAGATCACATCCTTCTAGCCCCTGTGGCCCTCCTATTTATCATCTCACTCAGAATAGACTGAAACATTGGGATGCTCTCTCCTGGGGTCAAGGCCAACAATTTCTCTGACCTCTAATCCTCCTGAAGTTTCTCCCCAAGGACCTGGGTGATGGAAGGTCAATGCCTATCCCAGCTCTCTAGCGGTCTGCCCTGACCTCTGCCCACAGTGTGCCTATAGCCTCCGTAAAAAGCCTAGCTCTGGGTTCAGAATCAGGGAGTCTTGGCTCGGTCATATAGCTGGAGGTGGAGAGAAGGCCTTTGGCATTAGAGAGAGAGCCTTCTAAAGTCAATGAATGCATGTGTGTGTATATGTGCATTATGTGAGTGTGGTAAGAAATGGAGTCTAGGGGTACACCCACACTTGCAAATTCCTCCTAGCTTTGTCTCCCACTTCTCCCAACACCCCCTCCCTGCCTTCCTCATCCAGGCAGAGATCAAACGAGCTCCTGGCCTCTACTTAATAGGTTAGATACTGCCTGGAGTCAAATGCCTTCTGCCAAGCTCTGATGCTGATTGTGTTCTCTTTGTCCACAGGGCATTTCTCCTGTGAGCCACCACTGGGGCCTTTGCCTTTCTTATGTTAAAAAAAAAAAAAAAAGGTCCTTATCTGTATTCTAGCTCAGTCGGTGCATTATCTGGTAACCATAGCAGCTTTGCTCCTAGCAGAAAAATATGAAGTCCTCTGGGTTAATTTTTAATGTTTCCCCTGGTAAAGGATGATGTTATCCATGAAATGGATTGCCGGCTGATCCCTGAAACCCGGCAGGAGCACGGATCTCGAACATATTTTCAGATAAGGCTTTGTCAGGCGTGCTGGCCTAATGGAGCATTTATCACAGAGACAGGGAAAAAGAAAAGAAAACTAACATTCACTGAGTGTTGGGCACCATGTCGGGCGCTGGACTTGCACTGTCTCATTTTGCATGTGAGTACTCTTATCCCTATTTTCTGATGAGGTCCTCATGGTCAGAGCATTTTCATCACTTGCTCAAGGTCAACTAGCTCAGCAATGGGGAGCCAAGGACTGGAGCCCCAAGTCTGTTAACACTCAAAGCCTTCATTTCTTTCCACGTCTGGAAATGGCTCAAAGGCAGTGCTGTCTACAGGTAGAGAGTATGGCTTTCAGAAAATAAATTATTTGCCTCTGCCCACCCAGACCCCTCCTCCGAACATTCTACTGGCCAGGAGAAGGCCCTCAGAAGAAGCCCCCCCCCCCCCATGCATGTATGACATCTATGTTTGCAAGGCTTTGTCCTGCTGTTTCCAGGGTCTTTGCAATCTTTCATCATCTTCCTTCTTTCTCGCTTGTCACTCCACTGAGAACAGCTTTGACTCCCACAGAAACCATCATCTCTTGAGAAAACATATCGGAAGCCTGAGCCACTGATGAGGTGGAGAATCTCCCCAGTCTTTTCAAACACATTACTTCAGGTGGTGTGAAAACAGGGCTCTGGTTGAAGCTGCCAGACCTCCACTGTCCATTTTCTCTTGGCCTCTGTTTCCCTATCTGCAACATGCGGCTGAATTTATTGTCTTATTCGCCGGAACAATGCTGTCTAGCATGTGCTAGCCACAATACCAGTGCCATGATGTAAAACAAGGTCAGGGGTGTTTCTGCCCTGCCCGTAGGCTTACGTTCAGACTGTTGTTTACCGGCCTTTTCACACGCAAATCTCATTCAATCTATGTGACAGTCATTCCTTTGGATTTATGAGGTCAGTTTTCCAGGTGGAAAAATATGAGCTCTGGAATCATCTAATAACTTGACAGTACTTAGCACCCACCCCACCGGGGAAAAAAAAAAAAAAAACTCTGTGAATGAATGAATGGGTGAATAGACGGACAGATGGATGACTCAACTTACAAGTGGTAAAGCTGCCCTTGAACCCCAGGTCTACTTGACTTAATACATGTGTACTTTCCACTGCCCCATTGACTCACAAGACACAGTGCCCACCTTGCCAGGCCAGCTCAGCCCCTCATTCTAGCCTGGAGGCAGAAAGGAGCCTGTGGGAGACTCTCTGCCTCAGGCCCTCCCAAGCCCTCCCCCATCATCATGAGCACAGGGACTCGGCCAATCGTTTATATCCCAAGAAGTGTCTTGACTGGCAGAGCCACAAATCTGTATTTGAAATCTTTCATTTCATATTGTAATTATGATTATTTGCTGAGCTCCAAGGCATAAATAATTTATTTGGATAATCCCCATCCAAGTGACACTTTCCTAATGAAATGTCTTAGTTTGGAGGAGAATGTGTTCATAATGAGAAGGTCCCCTTTGCCGCCAGGGCATGGAGAGATAAAAGAACAGGCAGGTGCTTTGTATAATCTATTTGGCAGGCTCGGGAGCCTCTGGCCTCAGTCTGGGCCTCATCATCATCAGAATATCGCTGATGGATGTGTAATTTACGAAGCCTCTGTCTTTTCTTTGTCAGAGTCACAAGCAGCCTGCCGCCTTCGTGGTCACCCAGCACCCTCTACCCAACACCGTGGCAGACTTCTGGAGGCTGGTGTTTGATTACAACTGCTCCTCTGTGGTGATGCTGAATGAGATGGACACTGCCCAGGTAGGAGGCGGCCGAGCCAAGCTCTAGGTGGGTTGGGGGAGGGGGCGATGCTCTAAACCTGGAGGGAGAGCCCTTCATAGTCGCTGCCTGCCACATCTGCCCCAGCTAGCTGTCCTGTAACAAGCACTGTCTGGCCATGAGCATCAAGCAAGCCATTCTGCTGCCTACAGAGGGTCCTGTCACCACCCCCCCGACCTCCAGCAAAGACCCCCCTGCCTATGGGTTTTGTCCAACCCCCTTCAGGACCAGACTCTGTTGCTCCATCTCACAAGTATTGATTATTGTCTTGCTCCAAATCACACAGAGCTTGCAGAGTCAGGAGGCTGCTGCCTCTTCCAGCCCTGAATAATACCCAGATGACTGGCCACTCTCACCTCCCTTCCCCCTCTGCAGTACAGCCTGTACCAACAGAGCCTGGGACTTGAACCTTGGACACTTTACCCACTGACCATCCCACCAAGCCCCAGGTCCTCACAGTTGACCTTTGTGTCCTGGCAGGCTTCCTGCCTTAGCCCCTCGGGTCTGACAGCTCCAAGCATCATGTCCCACAGTATATCCCCATACTCAGGACACAGGACATGTATCTTGGGACAGTTTCTGGATTGAATGTATCCCTACGGGAGGGCAGCCATTCTGGGGTAGAAGAGGTGAGAATGGTCCTTGAGATTTTTAAAAATCTTTCCTTTCACTGCCCTGAATAAAACTCAAAGTAACAACGCATTCCCATGTGAGTGCTGGCCTTGTGCAGGCCTTGGATGGGAATAAAAAAAATGTAAACAGATCTGAGCTATATAGTTTCAGCCCTCTAAAAGCTCATGGTCTTGCTACAGAGACAGATGAGCAAATTGTCCCAGCCTCGTGTGGCTGTGTTATAATAGAGGTCAGCAGCGAAGTGCTGTGTTGGCCAGGAGCAGGGAGCAATTAATTCTGCCCAGAGGGTGAGAGAAGACTTCAAAAAGAAGGTGACTTTGGCCTTGAAGAAGGCAGGGGAGCTTTAGGTACATGGAGGTTGAACTCACTGGGAAAAGGCATTTCAGGCAGAAGGAACAGCAGAGGCAAAGGTGAGGCTGGAGGTGAATATATGTAGACTTATTTGCAGAACAGCTTATGTTCTAGTGTGGCTGAGGCCTGGGGTATATCAGAAGGAGAAGAATGTAGTGAGGCTGAAAAATGCTGCAGAGCCCAGCTTGCAGAGAACTCCCGGTGCCAGGCTCCGGAGCTGGGGTCTCAGATGGCAGCATAGCAAGCATCAGATGTTTACTTTGTAAGCAACAGAATCCTTTCTATGAATAAAAGCTATCATGCAAGCCCAATGTATGAAACAGGTATGATCAAGAGCTGCTCATGATGAAGCAGTAGGCAGGGCTTGGGGTTCCACCCACATTGCTCTCTCATTTTCTCCTGGTACCCTTGGAGGGGTCAGTCCTTTGTGGGACCCGTGGGTTTTGCAGGAGCACAGTTAGTTAGTTAGAAATACCTCTCAGTAACTGGAGGGTTAACAGTGGTGTAACAGAGCCAGGGTTCCTGTTAGAAAGTTGGATCTGGAGGGTGCGCATCGTGTCTCATGCCTGTAATCAGCACTTTGGGAAGCCAAGACAAGAGGATTGCTTGAGGCCAGGAGTTCAAGCCCATCCTGGGCAAAACCATGAGACCCTGTCTACAAAAAAAATGTTTTTTAATTAGCCAGCCATGGTACCGTGTTTCTTTAGTCCCAGTTACTCAGGAGGCTGAGGAGGGAGGATTGCTTGAGCACTGCAAGGCTCAAGTGAGCTATAATCCCACCACTGTATTCCAGCCTGGGTGACAGTGCAAGACTCCATATCTATTCATATTCCCTCTCTCCCCCTGTCCCAGACTGGAGTGCACTGGTGCGATCTTGGCTCACTGCAACCTCTGCCTCTCAAGTTCAAGTTATTCTCATGCCTCCCAAGTAGCTGGGATTACAGGCGCATACCAACATGCGTGGTTAATTTTTGTATTATTTTTGGTAGAGAAGGGGTTTCACTATATTGGCCACGGTGGTCTCAAACTCTTAACTTCAAGTGACCCATCTGCCTCAACCTGCCAAGTAGCTGGGATTACAGATGTGAGCCACCACAACCACACCTGGCCAACCTCATCTCTTAAAAAAATTTTTTTAAAGTATTGCAAAACAAGGTAAGAATAAAACGTAAACCAGGTCTGAGGACCCAGTGCAGGTAAAAAGCTGGAGGAAAGACCTGGAAACCAGGAGACCGGGGAGGAGAATGTTGCAAATACACAGAAAATAAAGGTAGTTTTCTGAACTGCGGAAGTAGCCAGGAGGTGAGAGGATTGGAACTGGATGTGAAAACATGTCCAGACTTAACTCCACAAGGTTTAGGGAGCAGATGCAGGTGGGAGGTGAACGAGAAGGAAAGTTGAAGATAACGGCAGGATGCTGAGTCTGGGCAATTAAGTATCCAGGGATACAACTGATGAAAATGGGAAAGGCAGGAAGGTGGGGAAAGGCAGTGAGAAGAGCAGACAAGCAGGGAATGAAACTGAGTGCAACTTGGGGATGTGCCCGTGAGAGACGTTCCTGAGAGTCCAGTGATTCAGGCAACCCCTATTTGTTGAGCAGCTGCTGTTTGCTGGAAGCTATTCTAGGTGCTTGGAATGCATCAGTGAGCAACACAGACAAAGCAAGGCCTTAAAAAATTCCCATCTTTCATGCCACTTCTGTTCTAAGGGGGGAGACAGATAATAAGCAACACACTCTTTCAAATGTGCTCAATTATAGTTAGGAGGTGACACGAGTGTTTGGAAAAAGACAAGAGGGAAGGGTAGTAAAGATCAGAAGGGTGGATCTGGGACATGGATGTCATTGCAATAGGGTTGTCAAGGCGGGCGCTATGGGGAAGAAAACATTTGAACACAAACCTGAAGGGGATGAGAGTGAGCCACGTGACTTTCTCAAGGGAGCATCGCAGGCACAGGGAACATCTGCACCCAGGCTGCAGGGTATGTGAAACAGCACAAAGGCCATGGGCAGAGCAGCACAAGTGTGGAGAAGACAGCAGAAGGTGAGGTTGGAGGGCTGTAGAAGTCACAGAAGAGCTTGGGCTTTCATTCTCAGAGAAACAGAGAGCCATGCACATGCTTGAAGCAGAGGAACATAATTTGCCTTTTTTTAAATAAAAGCATCCCTCTGGCTGCTGTGTTGAGAATAAATTGTCGATGCAAGAAGGGGGAAGAGTGGTTTCTGAAATGGAAGCAGAGAGAACAGACAGGAGACCACTATGATAATTCAGGTGGCAGGTGAGGTTGGCCTGAACCCACGGGTAGCAATGGAATGGATTCTGAAGGTAAAGCCAACACCCCATCCAGACAGATTGAATATGGAATAAGAGAGAGAGAGATGACTCAAGGGCCAGGCATGCCTGTAATCTAACTTAGTGCTTTGGGAAGCCAAGGAAGGAGGATTACTTGAGTCCAGGAGTCGAGGCTGCGAGTTAAGGACCATCCTAGAAAACACAGTGACACCCTATCTCTACAAAATAATTTTTTTTTTTTTTGGAAACAGAGTATTGCTGTGCTGCCCAGGTTGGAGTTCAGTGACGTGATCTCAGCTCACTTCCTTCTCCTGGGTTCAAGAGATTCTCCTGCCTCAGCCTCCTGAGTACCTGGGATTACAGGCATATGCCACCACAGCCAGCTAATTTTTGTATTTTTAGTAGAGATGGGGTTTCACATTGTTGCCTGGCCTCGATCTCCTGACCTCAGGTGATCAGCCCGTCTCAGCCTCCCAAAGTGCTGGGATCATAGGCATGAGCCACCGCACCAAGCCATGCAAAATAATTTTAAATGAACTGGGCATAGTAGTCCATGCCTATAATCCTAGCTACTTGGGAGGCTGAGGCAGTAGGTCCGCTTGAGCCCAGGAGATCAAGGCTGCAGATAGCTGTGATCGGACCATTGCACTCCAGCCTGGGGCGACGGAGCAAGACCCTGTCTTTAAAAAAAAAAAAAAAAAAAAAAAAAAGAGAGAAATCAAGAATAATTCCAAGAAGAGTTGGGGCCTAAGCAATAGAAGGTTAGAAACTGAGATAACTATAAAAATAAATTAATTCCCATGAAACAGACAGTTCTGGAACATTCCCTGCAGACTTCTGGAGTCTGAAGGCATCACCACCCTACACTTTTGGCTGAAGAAATCAAACACTGAACTCAGCTCATGAGCCTGGGCATGAAGTCTGGCCTGCAAAAGCCTGTTTGCTCTTCTCTTTTTCAACATCCCTTTCAGCAAAACGAGAGCTCAGGCAGCAAAGGATGACTTTCAAAGAACTTCACTTTGGGACATATAAAACCTTTGAAACAAAAGTCAAGGTCATTGGCTATAGCTTCCCCTTTCATGGGGGGTCCTGGGTGAATTAAGACTCTTTCAGGCCCAGATGTTGGTACAGAGTTTGAGAACTGATTCTCTAAATGCAAAACCGTCAGGCTCAGAAGTACCCTGAGGTTGGCTGCCATATGCAGCTGGCAAGCATTCCCTGAAACCAGCAGATGAATAGAGCATTATTGATATAAATATCATCACCACAGCAGCTGGGCGCCTTATGAAAATAAACAATGACACAGCATGAGCATCAGAAAAGCCGCCCTCGGCACCTGGAGGGGCGGTTCTTTGAAGTGCCATCAGCATCTGTCTGCCTGCATGCTCGTGCCAAGGCAGCCCCCAAGTTGGCCCAGCCCGGCAACATGGACAGGTCACTCCTGAGAGGACTGATGCCACCTCCTGTGGTTTGCCTGGGAACCGTATGGGCTGATGTTGGGGACTGGGCAGGGCTACCTGTAAGTTGCAGCAAAATAAGAAGAGGGTGTGAGCTCTAACAGGGCCTTAATTTTTTGCACTGCTGACCAAATCTGCCCCTGCTCAGAATCTTACACTCCTTCATTCAATCAGCCCCAAATATTCTTCCATTCCTCTGCAGTGGCTGCTGTTCAAAGATAATTACGATCAATGAGGGCTCAAAATAAAG